GCACATTTACCCACTGAGCCATCTTGCCAGGCCTCATTGTGCATCATTTTGTAAGTTAAACTTTATCATATGTGCATATGTGTAGGAAAAACATGGTGTATTGAGGTCCAGGAAGTTTTCACGTGTCCACTGGGGTTCTGGGCACTGGTCTCCACAGACAAAGGGGAAGGGACAGTTTAGCCATTGACATTAATTAAGCTTGTGAAGTTGTGTAACAGCCCCCGATGGCAATTACAAAACCCTTTTCATCACCGTAAGCAGAACTCAGTAACCATTAAGCAATAACTGCCCATTTCTACCCAGGGCCTCATAACCTCTCATCTATTTTTTTTTCTTCATTTGTTTGTTTGTTTGAGACAGGGTCTCCCGTAGCCCAGGCTGGTCTCTAATTGCTATGTAGACAAGGATGACCTTGCCCTTCTGGTCCTCCTGCCTCCATTTCCCAAGTGCCATACTTGAGTGTCCCATGTCGTGCCTCCCCCCACCCGCCCCACCTTCCTACCTCTTTCTCTCTCTGTATCTCAGTCTGGCCTTGAATTCACAGCTGTCTCACCTTTGCCTCCTGGATGCTGGGATTACAGTCCTGGACCACCACACCCAGCTTGTATGCACTCTTTGGAGCAGGTTTGTAGACATCCAGTCTTAGGAGAGTTCACAGGTGCGATTCAGGAAGTCCATGAACACAAGTGGGAATAAAATTTCCTCTTTATCTGTGTGCAGGGATGGGACCCAGAGCCTCCTTCCTGCCATCAATGGCTCTATTGCTGAACCACACCCCAGCCCATATCTTCATGTTAATTATCCTTTATCTGAAAATTATAGTCCTTTCATTCAAGGAGAAACTACGGCAGTGTTTTCTGCCCCTGTCGCTTTGGTGCCAATAGAAATCAAAGATACTGTCACAGCACATTTTTTTGTTGTTGTTGTTCTAAAAATGTTTTATTTATTTAATTTTTGGGGAGATGATCACACTATGTAGCCCTGGCTGGCCTGGAACTCACTATGTAGACCAGGCTGGCCTTAAACTCACAGAGATTCACCGGTCTCTGCGTCCTGAGTGCTAGGTAAGCCCCATCACATCTGGCTGTATTCATTTGTGTGTTTGTGTGTGTGTGTGTATGTGAGTGCCACAGTACACATGTGGAGGACAGAGGACAACTTGAAGAGGTCAGTTCTCTGCTTTTACCATATGGAATGCAGGGGCAGAACTCAGGTAGTCAGGCTTGGCAGCAAGCACCTTTAACCCACTGCACCATCTCACCGGCACTATGCTTAAGCTTTTGATCATGAAGTTACAGTGGCCCTTCAGTGGTTCATGCAGGAATTTATTCCAGTCTACCTCTTACCCCAGGGACTAACAGGCTAATTGAACAGACAAGTGTTGGGTGGTGGGCAGGATCTTGGGTTGGAAAGAGAATGCCAGACCCTGGAATGCCTGTTGCAGACAAGACACCTCTTTCTGTCCCATCTGTTCCTGTCTCATCTGTGTGGCGATTAGGTTCTGGGCTCTTTGAGAGCCCATCCTTGTGGGATGGATCTATCCATGGGGGTTCTGTTGGATCCACCCCTCCACCAAGCAGTCCTTCCTCCTCTGCTGCCCAGGGCCCCTCCTGATCATTTTCCTTTATGAGGCTTCTAGCTGTTCTGCTGCACTGGCCCAGCCTGTTGTCTCTCACATGGACCACCTCAGCTTCCCTGGCCCCATGGTAATGTCAGTTCCTCCCCATCTTTTTGTTTAATTAATTTATTTATATTTTATGTGTATGAGTGTTTTTTGCCTATCATGTATGTAAGTGCACCATGTGCACAGTTCCTGCAGAGGGGAGAAAATGGGGTCAGATCCCCTGAAACTGGAGTTAAAGAAGGTGTTTAGATATCAGTGGGTGTTGGGAACCAAACCTGGGCCCTCTGCAAGAGCAGCCAGTACTTTTAATCATTGAGCCATCTCTCCAACCCATTTAATTATCTTCATGTATTTATTATGTATGTAGGTATGTGTGTGGGTTCATGTGCCATGGCACCAGTGTGGAAATCAGAAAACTTGAGGGAATTGGTTCTTTCTTCCATCATGTGAGTTATGAGGATCAAACTCAGGTCATCAGATTTGCTGGCAGCATCCTTACCTGCTGAGCCATCATACCTACGCCGCCCCCCTCCCTTAAGTTAAAAACATTTTAAATTTATTTGTATTTTATATGTCTGAATGTTTTGCCAGCATGTAAGTGTACCCACATGTGTGCAATGCCCATAGAGGCAAGAAGAGGGTGTTGTATCCCTGGAACTGGAGTTATAGACAGTTGTTAGCCACCATGTGGGTGCTGAGAACCAAACCTTGGTCCTCTGCAAGAACAGCTACTGCTCTTAACTACTGAGCCATTTTTCTTACTTCTACCCCTCTTTTTCTGAGACAGTGTCTAGATATGTAGCCCAGGCTGGGGCAAACTTACTATGTAGCTGAAGATGACCCTGAACTTCTGATTCTCCTGCATTCACTTCTCCAGTGCTGAGATTATAGGTATTCATCACCACACCTGTTTTATATGGTGCTATGGATGGAACCCAGGGCTTTGTGCATGCTACACAAACACTCTACCAACTGAACTACAGACCCTGACCATCAGCTCCGGTTTCTAATGGGCATAGACTTTCTGATTGCTTTCTCTTTCAAATCAAACTCTCTTGCCTGGCATTCAAAGCTCTTTCTAGCCGGGTGTGGTGGTGCACGCCTTCAATCCCAGCACTTGGGAGACAGAGGCAGGCGGATCTTTGTGAGTTCCAGGCCAGCCTGATCTACATAGTGAGTTCCAGGACAGCTGGGGCTACAAGAAGACCTTGTCTCAAAAAGACAAAACAAAAAAACAAAAAAACAAAACAAAGCCCTTTCTATCTGTTGCCCCTTGAACTTGCAGCCCCTCCCTTCCTCCCTCCCCCAGCACCATTAGCCAGGGCATGTGTGGTTCCAGGGCTCTGCCCAGCCTTCTGTGGTTGACCACCACAGTACAATGGTCTGCCTGGCTGCCTGCCTAGCTCTCCTGGAAGCCCAGCCTGGCACACAGCCAGAATCTGAAATGCTCATTGAGAAACAAACGAAGCCACCCCTGGAGACATTACCCCCATCTGTGCAGCTGCTGTGATTCCCTAGAGCCTCAGCTTTCTAGAGTCTGGGCTTTCTAAAAGCAACACTTTGAGTGACAAGCCAGGGAGTCTTTTCTTGGTGTCACAATGCAGAAGAGAGAGACCCTTACTGCTTGTACTTTTTGCTATGACCCTTGGGAGAGCTGAGGGGTCACCTTGTCATCTCCCACAAGTTGTCTCCTGAATCCAGTCTAACTTAAAAAAGCGCCTGACTGCCATCTACTTTTTTTTTGCAGTTCTGGGAATAGAACCCAGGACCTTGCACATTCTAGGGCTCTAGAGTCATACCCCCAGCCCCTCACTGGGGGATTCTAGGACAGTGCTACCATTGATCCACACCCCCAGCCCCTCTCTAGTGGACTCTAGGTAGATGTTCTACCACTAAGCCATGCCCCTAGTCCCTCAATGGGAGATTCGAGGCCAGTGCTCTACCTCTGAACCACACCCCCAGCCCTTAAATGGGGGATTCTAGACCAGGGCTCTATCACTGAGCCACACCCCCAGCCCCTCACTGGGGGATTCTAGGCAGATGCTCTATCACTGAGCCATACCCCCCAGGCCCTCACTGGGCGATTCTAGACAGGTGCTCTCCCACTGAGCCACACCCCCTAGCCCCTCACTGGGGGATTCTAAGCAAGTGCTGTACTGTTGAGCCATGTCCCCAGCTCCTCACTGGGGAATGCTAAGTAAGCACTCTACCACTGAGCTACATCCCTAGCCTTACTGCTGTCTTTAAGGTGGGCAGGGACCCTCTCTCACTGTCTCATAATCTGGGCTCCAATCCTATAAAGGTGATAGCTCTCAATACCTTTGCCCCAGACCCCTCTTGTCAAGGTGAGATGGAGGCTTGCAGTTGGCCTAGTGTAGACTCCCAAACCACCAGTGCACAGGGAAGAGGGGCTCCAGCCACAACTGAATGGAGGTGCTGAAAACTGACTCAGTACTGAACTTGCACCCATCTTTGCCCACTGTAGCAGCATGTGCTGCCACTTCCTGGCAGTTAGAGCAGGAAAGTCCTGGGAGCCACCCCGGGGCTCCTGCACCCCTTAGGGGGAAGCAGCTGTGGGCATTTCAGTTGTCATTCTGAAGATTTAGCTATTTGGGACCTATGCTATACATCACTATCTCACACCCTGCAAGGACAGGAGACCCTAAGTCTGTGGGACAAGGTTTTAACTGGGGGAGTGGAGATGGGCACTGGCTCTGTACAATGGTCTCTCTCAGAGGTGGCATTGTGAGCATGCTGGGACATGGAGGAGCGCCACGCATGGCTCTGCTGGTGGGCAGCCATGAAGTGGGCATGGGCACCCCTCTAGGCCCTTTCTAAATCTATATACCTGCTGGGAAATCCACTGCCTCCCACTGCCCAACCCCCAAGGAGCTAAGGTGGAAAATTCCTGTCCCAGGATTGTCTACCTTGGGAAGTTCAAAGACACCTCCTAGTGTCCTCCTAGCCAGGAACCAACTCCTAACCTTGGTATTCAAGGTTTCATGACAGTCCCTCCCCATCTATCACTAGATGTCTCCTCCCCGTCACTGCCCCTCACTTCCTTCCTTCATTCTTTTTTTTTTTTTTCCTTTTTTTGAGACAGTCTCAGCCTGCGTTGGCCTTAAACTTGCTATTTAGGTGAGAATGGCCTTGAACTCCTGATCTTCTTGCCCTCACTTTCAGAGTGCTGGGATTACAAGGGTGTCCCACCACACACTGGTTTGTACATGCTGGGGATGGAACCCAGGACTTTGTGCATGCCAGGTGAGTGCTCTACCAACTGAGCTGCATCCCCAGGTCTGGCCTTCCTTACACCTGCCTCTGCCTCCCAAGTGTTGGGATTAAAGGTGTGCACCACCACGCCCAGCTTCTGGCCTTCATTCTTGAAGTCACCCTTTTCTCTCCCACCTCCCCTGTCCTTGCCCCCTGAGCAGACTCCCTCAGCACTGGTCTCTATTCCAGCTTCCTAAAATGGAACTGCGTTGGGATGCGTGTGACTTTGTAACAATCCCATAATACAACAGATCACTTTCCCCTTGGTGCCCAGTGAGAGAGTAGTAGAAAGGACAGGAGGGCCAGGTGTAGTCCCTAAAACAGGCTCTTTAATAACATTTATGTCTTCATTGAAGAGCTTCGCTTTTCCCCCAGCACTGGGCTGGGGCTGGTGGGAATGGCAGGTTGTCCTGTGCTTGGTGACCAACCTGCAGGGGTATCCTGCTGTTGATGGATGTGGTGGGCCATCAGTGGGAGGGGCCAGCCATCTGTAGACACCAACCACCATCAGTGAATAGGTGGTGCCCCTGTAGGAGTGGCTGTTAGTTGGTGTGACTGGCCACTGGTGAGTGTGGGAGGTTAGGCATCAGTGGGTAAGCTTTCATGGGCTTTTGGACCATGAATAGGCCTGGCTTGCTGCTTGATAGGTTTGGTGGGCAGTCTGTGGGTGGGTCTTGCCACGAGGGGTGCAGCCAACCATCTGGACAGAGCATAAATTGGCTAGGCATGGCTGTTAGGGAGAGAGCCATTAAAAGATTTGACCTACCACAGATAAGTGTGGCCAGCTGCCCATCAGCTTGGTGGCTCTAGCCATCCTAGTGTGATCACTATCAGTGGATAGGGCCTGAAATCACTAGGCGTGGCTAGCCATCATTGCATGGGTTGTCCTGGGTTTGATCCACCACAATGGGCATGGCCAGCTACAGATGGGTGTAGTGGACCATCAGTGGACAGACAGGGCTGTGCCACAGTTGGCATGACTGACTGCCAGTGGGTGTGGCCTGAAGCCACTAGGCATGGCCAGCCATTGTTAGATGTAGCTGATCACCATGGGGTGGGTCAGGCTGTTGGTGGGTGGGGCCGCTGTCAGTGGGCGGGGATGTCATGGGCTGAACTGACCATGAGGAGGCGTGGCCCTCCATGGATCTGCGCATGCCAGTTAGTAAAAGGAGTACTGGTTCTCCACTGCACGTGCACGGCCTGGGGTGGCCTCCGGGGGCTCCTCAGTGGCACCAGCTGCAGCCTCCAGCAGGCGCTCTCCGCTGTTGCTGCGGCTGCGTGCACCAAGCGGCCCCTCGGCGGGACGAGTGGGCACAGACACAGCTGAGGACGATGAGGCAGATGATGATGAAGCTACAGTACCATCCGAGGGTGAGGCTGGTGGGTAGGAGGCTGTCACCAGACTAGAAAAGTAGTGCTGGCTGGTTGGCTCAGTCCAGCAAGTGGGGACTGGGGCTGCAGGGCTGGGTGATGGTCCTGGGTCTGCAATGAGAGGCCAGGTCTTTCAGCATCTAGCCTTGGGTACCTGAAATTCATCCTCCCCAGCCCACCAGTGTCAGGCACGAAGAACGCAGAGGCCAGTGTACACAAAATCACACTCTATCAGCCTCGGCTGGGCACTCCCATGTGCACTGGGCCAGTGCAACCCTTGAAAGCTGGGTGCTTGAATTCACTATGTAGCTGAGGGTGACCTTAGCTCCTGATCCTCCTCCCTCCACTTCCTGAGTGCTGGGATTACAGATGTGTACCATCACCTGGTTTCTGCTGTGCTGAGGCCTCATGCATGCCAAGCAAGCCTTCTATCTACTGGGATACTTCCCTGAAGCCCCAGGAGGGGGCACCTTACCAGACAGAGGGCCCTGTGCTCGCACATAGCTCCGGAGGGTGATATCTGCCGAGCCTCCTGACTCCAGGGGAATGGGGTGTGTGTGGAAGTGTCGGAGCATGTCAAGCACAGACTGGAACCACAGGTGCTGGACGTGGCACTGGCCTTGGCCATTCAGAGAGAGGCGAAGATGCTGTGGGCATGGTCCAAATGGTCAATGGTGGGGTTGGCTGGCCACCTGCTTGGCAAATGCCTTTGGGGGTTTTTGGAGGTCTAAGAATCTTAAGGGGACTGTGCCCTCTGGGGGTCCTCACACTGAGGCTTATGGGGTGGGTCCTTCCTAGGTATGGGAGATAAAACAAGGCTAGGACTAGGAGGTACAGGCATTTACTCTAATACTGGAAGCAAACCCTGATCCCTCCTTTTGAATGTTTATTTTGTTTTGAGTCAAGGGCTCATGTAGCCTAGGCTGGCCTTGAAATCACCTGTGATCCTTAGTGGTGGGTTACAGGACTCAGGCATCACCCCTGTTTTCATACTCTGTGACAACAGCAGCCAGGCTAGAAGACAGCTCAGGTTCAAGGTTGTCTCATGTCTACTGTGCTTCCCCCTCCATGGCCCTCAGTGGACAGAAACCATCCTAACCCCAAACTTGGGCATGCATGAGTCAGATCAAGGGCCAAAATGTCAACTGCCAGTCACCACAGTGGCAGTAAGTGCCTGGTTGCCAGAGGCACTGACAAGGTAGTGTCCCCAGGGAGAGTCCACCTCCTCCACACACCCTGCTGGTCAGCACATCAAGAGGAGGCCTGGGCACTGAGGCCCAACCAGAAGTGAGGGCAGCTGTGACCTTCAGCAACAGGTCAGGAGAAGGAATCCCGGGGTGCCCCGGAGGCTACTAGAAAATGATATTCTGGAAAGATCTAAGGCAGGGTCTATTTCCTTATCAGAAACATGGGATGGGTGGCACTGGGATTCCTGCCCATTCCCACTATACATTCCCACCTCAAACTGCTTGACTTCTTTCCTCTTTTTTATTTTTTCATTTTTTATTACATTAATTTATTTGTTTGCATGTGCTGCATGTGTGGAGGTCAGAGGACAACTTTTTTTTTTTTTTTTTTGTCTTTTTGAGACAGGGTCTCCCTGTAGCCCCAGCTGTCCTGGAACTCACTATGTAGACCAAGCTGGCCTTGAACTCACAGATATCCGCCTGCCTCTGCCTCCCAAGTGCTGGGATTAAAGGTGTGCACTACCGTGCTTGGTTGGGTTTTTTTTTTTTTTGATTTTTAAAAAATTTAATCTAGCTGGGCGTGGTGGCTCATGCCTTTAATCCCAGCACTCAGGAGGCAGAGGCAGGTGGATATCTGTGAGTTCAAGGCCAGCCTGGTCAACATAGTGAGTTCCGGACCAGCTGGGGCTACAGAGAGACCCTGTCTCAAAAAGATAAAAAAAGTTTAAAAGTAGAAAAATTTAATTTATTATTTTGTGTATGAGTGCTTTGCCTGAATGTATGTAAGCACACTATATGCGTCCAATGCCCCTTGTGGCCAGAAGAAGGAGTGAGATCCCCTGGAACTGGAGTTATGGATGGTTGTTACTCCATGTGGGTGCTGGGAACTGAACCTGAGTTCTCTGTAAGAGCAGCCAGTGCTCTTAACTGCTGAGCAGCCTCTCCAGTGCCGTGGTTTTTGGATTTTTGAGACAGGGTCTTGCTATGCAGTCCAAGCTGGCTTCATATTTGTGGCAATCCTGCTGCCTCAGCCTCCAGAGTGCTGGGACTATAGGCATGTTCCACTACATCCAGCTACAATGCTAATTTCTCAGAGAGAAATGCTGGATTGTTGTTGTTTGTTTACATGTTTTGAGACAGGGTCTTTTTATGCAGTCCTGGCTGGCCTGGAACTTGCTATATAGACCAGATTAGCCATGATTTCACAGAGATCTACCTGACTCTTACAGGTGTGTACCACCACCACACTCGGCTGAGAGATGTGCTTTTGAGGGGGCTTGATCACCAGCAGGTGGCCTCTCCATGGTCATTCATGGCTCACCTGAGCCTTGGGATCTGGGCCATCTCAGTCCACCTTCCCCAGAACCTGGTCTACCCTATCAACCCCCCTCCCCCATATATACACTTGCCTTGGCCTTGCCCTGGAAGTTGAAGGTCAGGACATACTCCCCAGGTCTTGTCTCGCTTTGGCGGATCACAAAGAGGCCATGGCTCCGGGGTCCACCAGCCAGCACCAGCTGAGCGGCCTTTACTCGGGACAGTGTCCCGTGGAACCAGGGGTAGTCGGAGAGCTCCTGCCCAGCTTCTGCCTCAGATTCCGGCTCTGGTCCTTCCTCCCCTGGAAGGGGGCGGTGGGGACAAGTAAATAAATGAGAGATGAGGGGTAACATCCTGCTGGTTTGTATAAAATGGTATTTGAATAATTTCTTTTTTTTTTTTGGTCTTTTTGAGATAGGGTCTCCCTGTAGCCCCAGCTGTCCTGGAACTCACTATGTAGACCAGGGTAGCCTTGAACTCACAGAGATCCACCTGCCTCTGCCTCCAGAGTGCTGGGATTAAAGGTGTGCGCCACCATGCCCAGCATTATTTGAATAATTTTAGAACTAGGCAGAGAGCTGACTGGATGCTCACTAGTTAACCTTGAAGTAAACTAAGGCACAGAGGGGGTGGCACTTTCAAGTCAGCAACAAAACTGGGGAACAAACCAAGCCTTATCCCCACCCCTGGCTTTATGCATATATGTGTGTCTGTGTGGGGGTATGTGTACATGTGAGTGTGGTGCCCACAGATCAGAATGCATCAGAGACCCTCAGAGCTGGAATTACAAGTGGTTGTGAACCACCTGATGTGGGTGCTGGGAACCAAGCTCTGGTCCTTTGCAAGAGCAGCATATGCTCTTAACCACTGAGCCATCTCTCTAGCTCCTACCTTGAACTCCTGATCTTCTTGCTTCCTCTTTCCAAGTGCTGGGATTATAGGGGTGTAGCACCATGCCTGATTTATGTGGTGCTAGAGATGGAATCATTTATGCTAGGCAAGCATTTTATTGAACTACATCCCTAGCTCACTCCCTCTTTGGGGGAGACAAAGTCTCACTCTTTACCCCAGGCTGCCCTTGAATCTGCCATGATCCTCTTAGCTTTCCAAGTGCTTGGATTATAGACATGAGCCACCACAAACCAGTCTTTCTTTTTCTCCCCCCCTTCCTCTTCCTCCTCCTCCCCTTCCCCCTCTTCCTCCCCTCCTCCCCCTCCTCTTCCCCCTCCTCCTCCCTCTCCTCCTCCTCCTCCTTCCTCTGTTCCATTCTCCTTTCCCAGTGCTTGGATTATAGACATGAGCCACCACAAACCAGTCTTTCTTTTTCTCCCCCCCTTCCTCTTCCTCCTCCTCCCCTTCCCCCTCTTCCTCCCCTCCTCCCCCTCCTCTTCCCTCTTCCC